TTCATAATAGCGAAATTCTCATCGAAGTAATTGAACAGTGGCTTCAAAGCGTTCTCGACGTCTTGAGGGGTCAAGGTTGGAGCTATCGATTGTCTGTTCTTCCAGAGACTGGTTACCGATGCTACTGAAATACCTCGAGATAGTAAGCCCCTTAGGGCTTCATGCGAGAGACTATTATTAATATATTGCGAAAGCTATGATCGTTAGTCTATGGTATGGAGTTGCAGAATTGTTGATAAACTTAAACGTACCTTGTCCGTGATCTTTCGCGTCATATCTCTTTCAGTTCTCTTTAGCAATCGGAATGCCTTACCAAAATAGAATTGAATATCATCACGTTCACCCTCCATACTGACACGCAACAATAAACGACCTTGAGTATCAAGGTTAAGCCAGTACTCACGAGGCATATAGTCGCTGAAGTGAGCTGGATCCAATTTCAAAGAAGTTCTTCCAACATAATCATGGTCACCAAATGTATCCCAGTCCCAAATTGTCGCAATAATGTTCAATGGACCTTGGACTGTTATATCCACGGACTCATCCCACCGAGGATTGAGACTTCTCATCACGACTCGAGTCTTGGCTAAGCGTTTTTGATATTCGTCGCCGAGAACGACATATGGATCGCTGGTGCCGTTCGGGTCACAAGACTTGAGATCCTCGCCCTCCACGATCTTGATGGTAAATACATATTTCGCAGTTCTTCTCTTTTTCTCTACCGGTGGTGCGTTTTTGGCAAGAAGCTCTGCACATGCATCGACGTTTATTGTCTTCTCAAGTGCATCAAGTTGCTGCACGGCATATTCGATATTGTTGAGCTTAACAAATGACTGTAATTGCATTAGACATGACCTTCTACATTTGCATGTATTGAACTTACTTCAGGGTAGAATTGAAAAGGTTCTATCTTCTCCTTGTTATTCCAAGCCTCTTTAGCCAGTTGCATCCACTTCTCCTGTTTTGTTTGTGTTGCAGCCGCTTCTTGCGCGGGAGACAGTCTGTCCATCTCTTTCGAGAACTTTTGCTCGATGACTTCGCAATATCTCGCCAACCCAATGCCAAAGGATTTCGACAAAGCTGTCATGAATTTGGCGTGCTGGATTGTGTCGGCCCAGTTGAGTTGGAAGATCTGATCAGCCATTTGATTGAAGAGACGGAATACATCAATGATAGACACACTATGACGTTCATCATCTGATGGGGTTTGGTCAGGATTATCCGAGCGAACCTGAAATTGATCTTGTTTGATAGCTTGGTCAACAAGATCTACTGTTTTCACATCAGCACTGCGAATCCAGCGCCAAACAAAGTCAGCAAGCAAATCCTCAATATTGAAAGCGAAGGATCTACTGGGCAGAACGTTATGATGAATACTGCGGATCTCAACAAGTTCCTTATATAGGTCAAACCCATCTTGTAAAGGGACTTCGCTTTCGTTGGTATGTGCTACGTGTAAGATTCTTTGGATTAAATCATTCGCATCATCCTCAAAGCTAGGAAACATCGTCTCGACAAGGATTGTTAGAGGATTGACACCCATGATTTCGGGATTTTTCCGATATCTTTTCTGAATCCGCTCACATAATTTTACGACAGATTTTCCCAATTGAACAACATGGAAAAATTCCCATTCCTCTTGATTTTGAGGAACCTCTGCTTCAAGATATTCCCTATACACTTCTGCCGCTTTAGATTTAAGACCCTCAATCAACTGTTCGACATAAGTATCGTAGCCACCAGGGCTTGTTGAGAATAAGGGATCATTTTTGATATGGGTTTCTAAGATGAGCAGGACTGGGCCAGGAGAAGGCGGCTTAGCTTCATAGCAATGTTGTAGAAGATCATATAGATCACGGAGAAGTGCGTCATGTAGACTTGTCAAAGTTTGACGGTATAAAGCAAAATCATGTATCGTCCATTCATTCTGATCGAAAGAAGACAGACTCGCAGAATGTGTATGCGTATTTGCACGTTTTGTTTCCAAAGACGATGGTGGGTTCTTGATAAACTCAAAGGCGCTATCAAGCTCATCAAGCCCAATCTCCTGGTCTAAGAATTTTTGGCTTGCGACATCTAAGAACAGAACGAGCCTTGAGATTTGTGGAATTCTCCAGCGAACACACAATTCGGTCAACAACTCGAGAGACTGTTTGCTGAGAGGCTGAGATTCGGCACCGTCAGCTTGAGCATGGATCTGATCATAGGTCATGGCATAAGTTAAGATTGTTCGATAGTATGCTCGTGTGTCTGTCGGTATAAATGTATATGTGGACTCTTCCAGAAATATCTTCGAGGGTTCATCGTCCTCCAGGGACAATGAAGACATATCTGCGGGTTGTTCGAAATTGTAGCCAGAGCCTCCATCTATGGGGCTTGTTATAGCTATAGATTTGGCTAAGTCTGCATATGCTTGATCCTCAGCACCTGAAGTGGTCATGGAAAGTGGTGGGAGTGGTGGGAGAGCTCTATTCTTGCCGGAGGCCTTGACAAGATCTGGCCTAGCCTGAAGTATCTCAGAAATCATGGCCGAGAGTTCTGGTATTTCTGACCTCTTCCACGTCTGGTATCCCTCATCAACGTCAAAATCATCGCTTCGTAGAGTTCGTTTAGTGTTTGCATTCAAGCAATGCTGGTAAGATTTCAGATCATTGAGCGCTGCGGACTCCGTCCAGATACTTTTGTTCAAGTCAATGTCTGTTTGAACTTCCGAATTACTCATACCAAATATTCTTCCAACAACTTGTGCCATAGGCATATCCTTAACATCGTAGCTCACTGGTGCGGTCACTTCAATGGAATGCCCCCCGCCAGGAGCAGTGGAAGAGTTGACGTATAGATCTTGCGAATTCGTCAATAGCTTATTCTCCAAGGTTGACAAACGACTCATCAGCTCGGGTCGGTCTTTGTCCTTGTCAAGATCCTTGAGAGTTGCACTGATTAGTCTCACGAACAGAGCCACATGGCGATCCACAAGGGCTTTCCACGATTCATCATCCGCTGCTTTGCCCTTTTGTAAAGATTTAGTGGTATTTGAATAGAATATCAAAACCAAGTCTTCAACACGTCTCTCTTTGTCCATACGCTTTCGAAATCCTGGTTCAGTAAGAGCTGTATAGGCCTCTGCGAAGGTTCTCTTGACAGCCGGCTCCTTGTATTCTGGGCGCCTCTCAGTTCCTGTTAAGACTCCTTGCAAGCGCTTCTCTAGCTGCGACATAAATCCATGGGGGAATTTGGTTTTTGTATCCTTCATAAGAGAAAAATCCTGCATCAACTCTCCTATCATGACACTCTTCCTCGAAATGATCTTTCTCTCTGCGGGGATGTATTGTTTGGTCTTTCGTCGAGGTTGAAGAAGGTGGTGCAGATATGCAACCCTGAGGGCGAATGTGTATGCATCGGTATAACCAATAGCTTTCGGTCGTGATCGAGAACTATTTCGAGATATGGACATGCGCTCACTATTTGCAAGACTGTTCACCCGACGATTGGGTCGAGTTCGAGAGGTGGACGACATCTTGTCCCCTTGAAGAGCAGTTATGCGACAGGTAGACAGAGAGGAAGGGAGGTTTGAGGGGGAGGATACCAAGTCTTCGTTCAATGTCCTTAGGAGATCAGATTTATCTTTTCCCAATGTTCAGGTATGCGACTTCAGATTGTAGAACTCTCTGATTGTGTATGATGGTTGTAAGAACATTAATATATCTTGACAATGAAATGCGATAATAAACTCAAACAGGCACAGGACGAATGGGGTAATGAGGTATTGAGGTAACTTTTTTTTATGGTAGATGTCAGGGAGAGGCGTAAGAGGTAACGGTAGGCCAAATGCCAGCCAGCCTCATGAAAATGGGGAGGATTCAAGACTGACGATTAGGAGAGAACCTTAAGTTCCAGGGGTCGCTAATCTGGTAATCTATGTTTCCAGGGTGTCAGATGGTCTTTAAATTGATCTGATGAGTGTGCGTGGTGGTCGCGCTGCTTATGTTTTTGGGGGACAAGACACGCTCGAGACAAGTGCAAGTTCCAGGTTTGTTTCTTGGAAGTGGTGTGTGCTCATGTGCCAACCCGAAATTTGATGTTGGTGTTTGTTATGCTGTAGCAGTGAAAGTAGGTATCAATATCAATATATAGGTATCAAAGGAACTTTGGATTGGAAATGAAGGGATTGGGAAAGAGTCAGAATGGGATGATGTTTTGTTATTCAATTTCCCCCTACATTGACATTACCAAAACAAATACTGAAACTTCGTATCGTTGTATTATCGTGTCTCTTCCATGCCTACCGAGCAGTCTATCTATCTATCGGATGGATCCTTATCCCTTTCTTATGCTTAAGGGAATCGCAAGCTTCTTGTAATTATACCGAGTAATCTGTTCTATCATCTAAAATGGGTATAAAACAGAACGTAGTACCGACCGAGCATAGACACGAATATATCCATATAGAGTGAAGTTTGAAGATGCTTCTGCTGTTATCAATACGAGACAACTTTATGTGCCCGGGTATTCAGCAGATAGAACTGTATAGGGTCCGGGTGTACCCAATATTGCCTTCCTAGGTGCATACTAGTTAGTAAGGAAGGAGATAGTGGTGCCTGAAAATCATCCATTAGGCACTTACATTAGTGGCACATGAGCTCGATGCCGCAATTGGCTGTATCCATTGACCTCCCAAGCACCTCCCAAGCACCTCCCAAGCACCTACCTACTCCATAAGGTTCATTCATTGTACCACTATTCTTCTATATACGAACTTCAACCACCTAATACCACTTGCTCAAACAATTAATTGCTTCCCTCCCCCTTCTCCCAAACCCAAAATTTATCAACGGAGAATAATGGCTTGATCGCAGAGACTCACAATATCATTATATGATCAATTTACATGTCACTCAAGTATGCTGGTTGCTCATCCGAGGGGAAAGTACTACTTACTACCATCACCGTGAACGATTCTATATACAATCCACCTACTCAAATCGCAATACCACAACGCAATGACAGCCCACGTTCCTCCTCCTGATCCCCAACTCGATGATATTGTATCACAATCCGATGAATCTTTCCCTTCTTGTCCAAAAACTTCCGCCGCTGTACAACCATTTGATAATTCCTTGTTACCTGACATTATTGCTTCCGGTAGTGCAATGGCTGCACCAACAGTATCCGGAAAGGCTGACGAGGCTATGATCGATGCGAGGTCTAAAATTACCAGCCTACTACCAAAGGATAAGGAACAAGAATGGTCTGCTGTAGTGGAGAAAAGGAATGGCCCTCTTCGATTATTGGATCTGCCCATGGATGTTCTCAAAGAAATTGTGAAGGAGGTAGACTATTGATTCACCTTTCAGCCACCTCGTTCAAAGCTGATGGAATATTTAGGTTACCCATACCAATGACTTAACTTCTCTTGCCCTCACCCATTCTGCTCTACATAATTTAGCAATACCTTATATATATTCGCGGTTTGATATCGTCTGGCCCGATGCACATGCTACGTCTGACCCGAGGACCGGAGTCGATGCGCTTACTTATGGACTTTCTACCCTCTGCATGGGCAATGCCTTCACGAATCCAAATTCAACACAATCTTTTGTTTGCAAGCATTGCGGAACAGACAATTCTATAGATTGCAGCCATGAGGCCAAACCAGAGCCCTCTAGTATCCCCAGGCGTGTCGGTAATGAATATCCACAGTTTACTAGAAAGTTTTCCCTTGGAAACGGACCTACCGACTGGGTACAGGAATACCTCATCACTAAAGAAAGTGGGAAAATGTTAGGAACGCTTGTTGCGTTGGCCGTGGCTAGAATGATAAATCTAGAAACGTTTGTTTGGGATATGCCAACAGGGGTGTTGAGAGACGTTTGGCTTGCTCTATCCTCTTTACAATACAAGAGTCCAAAACAAGAATGTCGGTTAGAACGTGTTTGGGTCAGGTGGCATGATAATACCGAAGCTATTCACATGTCTTCAACACAAAACCCAAGCACGCCATCCATTACTACGAATCAAATGTTGGCTGGGAAGACAATGACTTCGATAGGCTGGTTATTACCATCCGGTTCCTCAATAATTCCGTCGGCTCCCGCACAAACCATGGCATATTCACAAGGCCGTGTGGAGTATCCTACACTTAGCGTACTCCCTCCATTACAAAGCTTGTCTGTGTTGGACATTGACGAACTAGATTATCTAGACGAGATGAGTGTTTTGATAGAGCGTTCAAAGGATAAACTTCGGGAACTTCGTGTTGGTATCTCTGCGAAGGCCACCCACCGCGATTTTGCTCTTCCATGGGACGGGCCTGAGCTCCAACAGGTTGATCACGAAGCGAAGTGGCCCGGTGCCAGTAAGATTGGCGAGCGAAGATTGGGTGGGGTATTAGGCACCATTCTGGGTCGCATCTTCGATATCCGGAACAAACGAAGGATAAAAAGTGAGAGGACAAAGGGTCCAAGACTTGGTTCTTTCATGGCGAATAGCCAGGTGCAAGCCCAACCAAGTAGCATCGACGTCGCGGAAAATTTACTTCCCGAAATAGCCGGAAATGATTATACGGAGCCAAGCTGGAGCGATAAAGATATTCCAGTAGCGTCAGGTGGACTGAATCCACAGGGAGTAGAATTCAATATCGAAGCAGAGCCTATTCCAGAGAATGTTGATCCTGGCCATGAAGATTTACTGTCGAGCACTCTATTATCGCCTCACTCTGATATGGATTCGCTTACTGCGCTGATATCCGAACATCAACTTACATCGGATAACGACACTACAGCCAATGACATACTACAACCACCTGTGCCTTCCGATATTCCTGCAGAACCTCCTTTGCGACGTTCTCAATCATCGAATAGAAAACAAGCACATTTTTCGGAAATTTTCCCTGCTGGTAGAGACAGGCTTGAGGGTAAACTACGTCTACAAACTTTGGAACTGGAGAGAGTTCCTTTATCTGTTTATGTACTGCATAGAGCTTTCGATTGGTCAGTTCTGACTAATTTGACTATTCTCGACTGTCCGCACCATGATAAGCTTTGGTCCATACTTAAAAAGCATTTCGCGCCCTCGCCATTAGGCAACCATACCTCGACAAAGCACAGCACACAAATGCTGTATCATCTAAGTCTTAAAAAGATCCATACTGACGCATCATCTCCTTCCCTAATATCATTTCTGAAAGAGACGTTGGCACCAAACACTTTAGAAACACTATTCTTGCAAGATAGAAAACGAGCACCAAACTCGTCGGTGACAATCGTAAGCTCAATATATGTGTGAGTATTTAGGAGAGTGCTGACGCGACCATAGGAATCCATCTACCGGGGGCCACTCAAGAGGCATCGTGCTAGTCTTAAAAAACTATTATTGGATAGCTCCGAAAGACCCCCAAGGAATGTGAATAGTTCAGTCGAATCCTCCAAGTGGAAAGCCTGGATGCCCAGCCGTGATGTCTTGAATTTCATCACCAGTGGCCGTATGAGCAATCTGCGCGAATTAAGTATTGCAATTGACTATAAAGACTGGGTAAGTGTTCCGAGAATAACCCTTTGACGTACATTTCGAAGCCCCTCAATTTGAAATCACTGCATCATTATTGCAATATCTAACAATGGCTAGCACCACTTTCTGCAACGCCTCCCTCAAGTACCCCATCTTCGCTCTCTCAGTGTTCCTTTCATCGCCGACCACATCACACCCGCATTCGACCCCAAAGAACTCGCTCATCAAATTCTCGACGTAATTTTCCTCCGCCCAGAAGTGGAACTTTGCTACGTAGGCATATCGCATAAATGTTTCGAGATACTCGAAAATCGCCCCCACGAGGAACCATTACTTTCTTCACATGATCCCCACACGTCAGCTGCAAATGGCGGACCTGTAACCGATGATGAAGAGGAGGAGGATGACGATGGGAGTGAGGATGATGATGATGAAGGAGACGAAGAGGAAGACGATAATGGGACGGCTATTGCTCCTATTGATCCAGACGAAACAGAGGATGAGCTATCGGATGGTGATGAACATGAAGACGATGAGAGCGACGAGGACAGCTGGGATGGAGCGAGTGATTGTGATGGTAAGGGAAAGGTGAGGTTGAGGTTAAGAGAAATTCTATTTTATGATGATAAGGTTGCTATATTTAAAGCAAGGCATGGTAGACTTTGAAGGCGTGCGCTGGTTGCGAGGAGTATCGTTTAACAACTCAGGTGAGTATGAAAATATGGATAGGATAAGTCTTTGCATGGGGTTCTATGGGGCAATAGGGAACGTTGATACGATATAATATGGAGAAGCGAATGCTTGACACGTTTCTCTTTTTCCTTTGTATGGGGGGACAATACTTCAAAAGCTAAAGTGCAAGGAATTATAGGATGGGAAGGATGGATGCTTTTTGCACGGAGTATATCATGTGAACAGGCATGCATGGTTGCATGGAGGGATGGCTATTCCGTCAATTATATTAGGAGACACCGGGTAAATCGACGAATCCGGGCATGGTATGGCGAATGAAATCTATTTCGAATTTTGAAATGCTTTTTGCTTTGATAACATAGCGAGAGGGGATGCTTGAGCTTTGGCGAAGAAAATCTATACTCTTGACGCGGCGTGAAATAAATACCATGGTTTCCGGAGAAGAGGAAGAAAAGACATGTTCATGTTGACTTCAATGTTTGTTTTAAACGACATTCGAATTTGGAGGCAGATCACGGTGATAAGCGGGCTGCATATTAAGAAAACTATCAGAGTTGATGTTTTTCCTTGGTATATCTTAAGTTTTCCTCCATCAATATTCCTCGTCTGTTCTAACCCTTCGTGAGAGAATCTAGAACTACTGGTATATACGTTCCCCGCCAAAAATTCAAACACATACTAAAAAAGAAAAGAAAAAGACCAGTCCAAAACAAAACAAAAGACAACGATACAAGCCCATCTCATCTCCCTCCAACCTGTCCCTTCGGAATAGGTTTCACCCACGACACTGCTACGTTAACCGCAATTGTGAAGACGCCAATAATCCAAAAACACTTCGCGTAATCCTTCCCCTCGTAGCGGAAAATAATCGCAAATACGATTCCTCCCAAGTTTCCACACGCGCCGACTACTCCACTGATAATTCCATTGGCAAATGGATGAATATGGGGCACGAGCGAAAAATTCGCCCCATTGCCTGCTTCGAGGAAAAGTCCCATACCTGCTACGAGCCCAAACATCGTGGAGTGGTTATGTGAATCTGTGAGTCCGATAGCGATCAAAAAGGCGCCGGTGAAAATAGCAAGAGTGTGTAGCCAAATTTTCTTCGCCCATACGTTTCCTGTTTTGCGATAGAGGAGATCGGAGAGGATGCCGCCTAGAGGACGGAAAACAATGTTGAGGAGACCGAACATTGCTGCCCAGCGACCGGTTCCGGCTTCGCCTAGTTTGGGGAAGTTTTTGAGATAGTAGGAGCCGAGGATGGAGTTGATGGCTAGCTCAGCCCCGAAGGAACAGAAGTAACAGGAGGCGACGAGGAGGGTTTGTGGGGTGAGGATTACGTTGAGAGCTTCTTTGAAAGAGGGTTTTTGGATTACTTCGCCGCGAGCGATGGTGAGCATCTCTTGGGGAGGGAGGGTAGCTTCGTTGTTGTAGGGTTCTGCGGTGCTATGCTTGGCGGATGCGATTTGTGCTTCTTCTTCGAGACGTTTTTCATTGCCGAATATAGAGTTGGAGGATGAGACGGGATCGGTGGGCGAATGGATGTTACCAGGCTTGCGGTCAGTGATTGAGCCGGGTACGGACACTATCTTGTCCGAGGGGCTGTGGATCCCGTGGGCTCGGAGGTTTTGTTGGACGACGAGATGCCTATCTGACCATTTGCCAGTTGGGGTATCGGGGCAGAGGATGAGCATCGATATGGCCGTTGTGGTTATGAGAATGAAGGGGACGATGAAGGATACTCTCCAAGCGACGTGAGCAGTGAGTCCTTGGTTCAGTATCAGAGAGTCGACAATGGCTGGCATTACGAAATAAGTTATTCCTCCTCCACTGTGTAAGCAGATGTTAGTATGCGATCGTTGCTAAGTAGGGTGTTATGTATGTCAAGGTAGTTACTTACGAATTTCCCCAACCACCGGTCAAAGAGTTGGCTGTACCAACAATATTCTTGTCGAAAAAACCAGTGGACCATACTTGACATGGAACAAATGAGCCACCGAGTATACCAATAAAGAATCGAAGGACCATAAGACCGGTTGCAGACGTCACGGTGCCGGCAAGAGCAGTCGGAATGGCTCCGAGTAGTAAACATCCTGCAAATGTCACCTTGGGGCCGAAATGATCGCAACATGGGCCTGCGACTAATCGGACGAGGAGTCTGTAGGGTGAGTGTTAGTATTGTGAATAAACACTGTACATGCAGTTTATTATACATACGTCGCCACGAGAGCAATAATGTTGGAATTTGCAATCTCATTTTGAGTGAGATGAAGATCTTTCTTGATCGTGAGAGATAGCTGGAACAGGTCAGAAAGCGAAGAACAACAAACAATAAGACTAGATCATACCAATGGTGGAAAGGCATACCTGATACAAGGATTAGCATGATGTGAGGTCAATGAGCAGAAGGAGTGTTGAATGACTAACCAGGACCAAAAGGCTATCAAAAAGCCCCACCAAGAAAAGAAGAACACTCTGCCGTATTTGTTGAAAGGATTAAGGACGGGGATAGATCGAGCTTTCCCATTGACTGGATTGATCTCTGGCGCTTGCCAGAGTGTTTGAATTTTGAACATGGCAAAGCTGGTATGATATCGGAGATGAGAAAGAGTTGTCAATTGAGACTCGTTCTGTCTAGATTGTTTCTGAACACGACTGATTTTTGAGTTCTCAACTCGAGTAGATACAGATTGTTATAAATTGCTGATTATCTAAATAAGGAAATCCAACGCATATATAAATTATGAAATGATATAGCCTGAGATCATAGATAAGTGATGCTCGCCCACTGGTAGTTGAAGCATCTCCGGCAGAGCAATCTTAGGTTGAATCTATAGGGCGAGTTAATAATGCCATGGATTGCTCCCTTGTGCAGATCGAAGGTCGACCAGAAGTTTGGCGCGGGTACGAAACGCCTCGTCTGTGCTTGATAGATAAGCTGCGAACCGGGTGCAGTATAGGTGAACCGAATATAGGACACTCCAGCTTGGAAGGTTTGGGCGCCAATATCTGGTGGCTGTCAAATCATCTAGATGTGTATCTTGGGGCTGGGATATTAGAGATCTCCGGGATGGTTTGGAGTGGGAGATCTATATTTGCGAGGTCGGGGTCGAGATCATTCTTGGGGTTTATACACGGCTGAGATGACTGAATATGCAATACTGTCACGGGAAAATTCTCTCGACAGTAACCAGTGGAATGTTGAGGTACAATATTGGCCCCTTCTTAGCTTAAATTTGGATTGTGAATTCTTTCCAACATTAATGTAACTCAATAGCTGAAAGTAATGTTCGAGAAAGCAATACCGTGAAATAGGTTGCGACTTTGCTTTGCATCCCTACTCCCAAGCATCATGTATTTGCTTCCCCGAGTATATATCCTAGTATCCAGGGGTTTATCTTGATAGAGAATAATCACAGGCACCGTCATAGATGAATTATCGCGCCCACGATTTGAATGTGTATGGACACTCAATAAAAGAAATTCGGCGCAAGCAAACCTTAATTTCAAGATAGCCAATGACGGTGGCTACAATCTATCAAATTGGTGTCATCACCAAGCAAAGACTGGTTGGAGACTGCTCTGAAGGTCCTTGAGGGTAGAGGAAAGCATGAATGAGGAAGTCGTGTCGTCGCCTCGTCGCTTCTTATCTTTGACGAGGCTTAGCGAAGCCGAGAACGGGAATAGACCCACCTTGTAGATAAGGATTGTGGGGGAAAATTTCGAGACCTAATGGAAAAAAGAAATGGAGGAGATTGTCGGGTCTGCATCGCTGATATATATGTATCTTCCTTCTCCGCGGCCACTCGTCAGGAATTTCTCGCTGTCACAATTTTCTATTTCGATGTACGGCTGAGAAATAAATACCTACCTAGTAGTGTTTTGTACGAGTTCCCGTTCCCGTTCGGTAGTAACCTTGCACACTAGAAAAGATGTGTTCATCAGACTAGGTATGCAAAATTGGTGGCAACAATAGATTATGGTATGTTCAATAATTGTTCCTCGAGATACATTATTCCAGAGTTGTGTATGAGTTCAATTACCATTCTTCAATCAGTTCCTGGCCGCGGAGATGATCATTTCACTGTTGTGATATCCCCAGGGTTCCATCGTCTTTATAGTTGGTTTCATATCATATCTGTAGGTAGATAAGTAGATAAGTCCCCCACGATAGTGTTATCTTTCATATCTTTGATATCTCTGATATGTCCTCTGGCAACAAACCAATCATCGTCCTTTGTGTTGCTCTGCCGTCTTACATTAAGCCTTTTGTTGGACGCCAGGTACAAGTGGGTTTTCAACAATATATACTCAGTTTAGCCTCCGAAAAGTAAAAGCTTAACTGACCAGCTCGTAACTATGGCAAGATATATAGCTGATTGCTTGATAGGAGCTTCTGATGAGTCAGGAATATGATGAAGCCTAGATAGAATAATTAAGCACGGCATCCTGCACAAATGCCTTTGGTTCGTTAATTAGGTATGAAACGAGTGTATTTATTAACGTTTGTCTCGCTAGAATTCTTCTGTTCCATTTCATCTCCTCCAGATATTCTAGACAATGCATTGTATCTCTGCACGATAAATCAGATTGTCAAGGTGCAAGAGAAGTGTACTCAGAAACGACGATAAAACATGATCTGACTTTGGTATAAGACCCAAGACTCGGAAATAATCAGGCACATCACCTCTTTCCTTTATTGGTTTGTCCGATATGACTATGCTATATCCCTCGCCTGCTTGTTCCTCTCGGAATCTGTTCTCGGTGTCCAAGAAGCGAATTTGAAGCTTTTCAAACTCTGCTTGATCTTTATGCCAATCGACTTTCTGCCATTGCGGTTCGCACGAAGAAAATATCCGTGAAGACACGGTCGTCATAAATTGAGAATGTCGAGCTTCTTAAAGGGTTCTTCCCCTTGTCGATCTTTGATACTGCACAAAACTTCCTTGCTTCGATTCGATCAATTGGAAGTC